TGTTTGTGCACTTGCTCAATAGCATTTGTTTTCCTTTAAAAATATAGGACAACAGTCAACACTGGCCTTGGTCTCCAATATTTGGAAGGTGGGGTTTTCTTTGCACTTTTTGAACAGATATTGGCACTTTTGTATTTAAGTCAGGGCTTGTTCACACCAAATCTGGACCAGATCTGGATGAGTTTCAGTATAGCGCGTTTTGATGGGATTTTGATGCATTTCGGTCCATTATTTTTTTTAGCCTAAAATGGGCTTTCAGGTGTAGTCCAGTGCTTTCCAGAGCGTTTCCATGCGTTTTTGATGCATTTGCATGCTTTTTGGTGCGTTTGAGAGCAGGAAAAATAGTGCTTGCTGTAGTTTTTCCACATGCTCTGGAGCTGAACGCTGTGGTGAGAACTAGAGCCCAAAATACCATTGGAATACATTGGATGCATTTTTGATCCGTTCTTAAAATGCTCTGCATCTGCTCCGCAACTTGGTGTGAACAAGGACTCAAGCAGAGTTCAAGATGGACTCAAGTGGTGCCAAATTATTTGCATTTCACAAGACAGAGAAAAGTGGTAAAGAAGTTAAAAAAGAACTATGGGGTAACCTTTTTATCCCATAGTTCTCTTTGGGGTCACAGGAGGACATATATTAACATCCTCCCGTGACCCAAAACTCAGCATATAGGGGGCTTTTGCCCCCTATATGCTGAGAGATCCACCTTGCTGGCTCATTGACAATGGGCTCTGCCTATCTAGAGGCAGAGCCAGCTGTGCCCGCCCCTTCGCCCCCGTCCATTTCTCCAGTCAGCGCTGGAAGAGCGCAGAGGGGAGTGGGGGCCGGCAGGGGGCGGAGACTGACAGTCACCGATCTCTGCAGGGAGATGATCGGAAAGTGAGCAAGCGATGGTATGTGTTCACTCACTTCACGATCAATAGAGCCGACTTGCGACAGTTTTCAATGTCACACGTCAGCTCTTACTATGGGGATAAGTGTATTTCACTCACCCCATAGTTCTCCTTTAAGCTGGGATATAATAAGGGCATGCACCGGCATTTTGGTTGCATTATGCTAGTAGGAAGCAATAGATGCAGGATATGTTTTTAAACTGGAGATGACAGGTAGTTAATGAGTTAACATATGTTAAATGAAATACTTCAACCATGTATTACCCCTTAGCAATGTTAAAATAATAGGGGTTGTTCACAGTAATTGTTATTTCAGAAAGGGAAGTTGAGTGAGTGTGAAAAATAAATTCTGAGCTATCCATAATAAGTTTTAGGAAGTAAGAGTAGATGAAAACAGATATGGCAGATAAGACAATCGGGAACACAAGATAGCAGGGAAGTGAGATTTAAAGTTAAAAGATGATTTTAAGTAGAATCTGCTTATAAGTCATTCATCTTCAGGCTCCACTGGTCAGATTTATTTCTGTAATACCACAGATTTATGCACACAAAAAATCTGTACTGTACAAACCTGAGTTCAAAGCAATACTCAGTTGAGCTTATTAAAATACAGTGTTCACAATCATAGACCTTTTATTGCTTTAATCACAGCCTACCCTAAATGTTTACCCATGACCAGCCTCTAACACAAAAATGTAAGACTGGTACATGGTCATTCAACTGTCAGGGCACTGAGTCACAGACATACAGGGTGGTATTTATCAAAACTGCAGCAGACAGAATCTGGAGGAGCTGCCCATGGCAACCAATCAGCTTCTCTCTTCAGTTTGTTTAGTTAAGCTTTGAAAATGAAAGAGAGAAGCTGATTGGTTGCCATGTTTGGACAGTCCCTTAGCAGATTAGGGAGAGATTAGAGTGTCTAGAGGGAGATTTACGTTTGTGTGTGTCATCAACAACAACTTCATGTGTGCTTAGCTGCTGGAACCCCCCCCAGCTTGCTTTTTTTGTGGGGTTCTTTATATTTCTTGTCTTAATTTTTTCTTTTTTAAGCGGAGTTGAGTTTAGTGTTTACTAAAACTGTGCATTTTTATTTCACCTTATTTTTAACTTTCAGTTAGGTGTAAAAAAAAAGGGGGATGGGCCAGAATTAAGTGTACAATATATTGTGGGCTTTGTCAGTAAAATAAATACACTCTAATGCTGATTGTTTTTTATAAAACCTGGCTGTTGTGGGTCCTGTTAAAAAAAGCAGCCTAGTCAAAGAGGTGTTTGTTATAGACTGTTTACAGAGCCATCTACCCTGAAAAGTTTTATGTACATTCATTCTGTGCAAATGGAGGAAACAACTGATGTTATTAGTATATTTTCTTTCCAGACTAAATGTAAATTCAGGAAAATACCAAATTATGGCCAATTGGCGCTGAGAAGCATAAGAAACGAGTATTTCTTTCCTATGGCCCTCACAGCTCCATCTAGTGGCCATAATGTACCACTTACCTGATATTACATTTAATCTGGAAATATTTGTTTTTACCTCTATTCACACAAAATGAATGTACATGCAATTTCAGAAGGTGACTGGCTTTGCAAATTGTTTATATATAGACACCAAAGTATTTAAAGACTGTGCATGTACTCGCTACAATATTTGGGGGGTCTTTTTCTAGAGAAATAAACTTATTTTTATTTTATTAAATGCTGGCTAGAGTATCTTCAATTGAAAATGGGGCCTAGTCAAAGTGTTTAAATGCTGTGCATGTAGCCAATACAATATTTTTGGGATTTTTATAAATACATTGTAATTCTGATTTTTTTTTAATTAAAAGCATAACATCATCTAATGTTGATTTCTTAAATTAAAAAAATGGCTGGTATAAGTCCTGTTGAAATCTGGCAAGTGTCTGTCTTGTTGAAAATTGGGGCTTGTAAAAGTGATTAAATACTGTGCAGGTAGTCACTGCCTTGTTTTGAAGGGTTGTAGTGAGATAAATACATTATAATGTTGATTTCTTTCTGGAGTAGGTTGAAAATGCGCCCTAGTCAAAGTAATTAAATACTGTGAATGTAGTCAGCACAATATTTTGGGTGTTTTTCCAGCAAAATATATAAACTCTAATTTTTTTAATTAAACCTGGGAAGTGTCTCTCCCTAAAAATTGAGGCTTGTACACGTGATTGAGTACTGTGCAGGTAGTCACTACATTGTTTTGGGGCTTTTTGTGGAAAAAATGCATTCTAATGTTGATTTTATGATTTAAGCATGGCTGTTGTGGGTCCTATTGAAAATGCACCCTAGTTACACCCTAGTCAAAGTCATTAAATACTATGCATATGGTCACTACAATACTTTGGGGGCTTTTTTCAGCGACTCTCAGTGGTGTTCTAACCAAGGCATTACAACACTTTCTCATTTGTTTGCAGGTGGGACTTTCATCGGCCTCAATCAACTCAGAGCTAACGCCAACAATAAACATTTCTTCAGAAACCATAAGCACCCAGCTCAACAAAGGTCCACTCTTTAGCGTGGATTCTGGAATTGATAAGTTTCTCTCGTACACTACCGCGACTGAGACGCCACAGTATACTGCGAGCTACTGCTCGCGGTATACTGAGACGCTGAAGCGGATCCCGACAATTATGTCTGGATCCGCCCAGCTCCGTGAGTGACAGATGGCTCTGCCTATCTAGAGGCAGAGCCAGCTGTACCCGCCCCATTCCCTGTCCGATCCGCCAGTCAGCGCTGGCGGATCGGAGCAGGGAAGGGGGAATCCAGCCCCTCCCCTGTCACAGAGGAGAGCTGTGACAGGATCGAGAGGTGAGCGAACGCCGGTATGTGTTCGCTCACTTCCCGATCTACTGAGCCGACCTGTGAAAGTCTCATTGTCACAGGTCAGCTAGAACTATGAGGTGAGTGAAAAAAACTCAACTCATAGTTCTCCTTTAAGGCCCAACACAAACCAATATTTAGTTTAGGGACAGGAGGAAAAGACTCCCTAATGGGGCCAGAAACAGAAACAAACCTGACAGAAATGCTATTTCTTTCCCTCTCTATCCAAAACTGAACAAAAAAAATGGCTGGAGTCAGACTTTAAACAAAAATGCAGCATTTGAACTTATCTCTGCACTTATGAGTCAAACCAGAATATTTACTGTGTAAAGTCAGGGGTCCTAACCCTTCCCTACTCAAAACAAAACTAATGTTTTAGATACACTCTAATCATAGATGTCACTGTTGATAGATTTTTCAGAAAAACTGGGGGAAGAATGTCATTGTTGACAAATGAGAATGTGACTGGTAGAAATGGTTTCCCAGCACTGCTTTATATTCCCAGCAGACCCTGCTGATCAGTAACAGTAGTAAAGCCAGATGTCACTATTGATTTTAAAATGCTAAATAAAGGGATGCAATTAAAATACACTTTGAGAATGTTGGTAACTCAATGTAAAATGCGGAGTTCTTTCAGCCCATATAAAAAGGAAACTAGTGTGTCTGTGTCCAGCAGCTCACACAGGACAAGTTTAGTGATTTTGAAAGTGAACCCTTTGTTGAAATAAAGCTCTAGGCAATTAGAATGCATTACTAAATTCTCAAAATAGAAAACTAGAATAACAATAAAAATTGTATTGAATTCCCAGTTTTACACCATTGGTCTATAGAAGCAAACTTAGGATGTTTTGTATTTTTTGCTACATTGTTACATTACATTTTGACATTTTTATGCATACAAAATTGTTTGTTAACATTATGACATACCTCAGTGACACTGCAGATGCAATTGGAACTTGCAGATGCAATTGATGCAATTGGAACAAACTAGCACAAGCAACTGGACAAGGAAGGATATGACAGTAGGCTCCCCACAATGACCCCTCCAACGCCTGAGAACAAAAGGCTTTTGGGGAAAGCGAGCTTTGACGGCATGGAGGAGAGCAGAGGCGTAAACATTAGAGGAAACAACCCAAGAGCGTTCCTCCAGACCATAGCCTTTCCAGCAGACCAGGTACTTGACTCCTGATCTCATGAGAGTCGAGCATGCTACATATTTCACACTCCTCATGGTTGCCAACAGGAATGGGACAAGGACAAGGAGGAATGGTAGTGTAACAATTACACACTAGTGGCTTCAGGAGCGATACATGGGAAACCTTGGATATAGCGCATGTTAGAAGGGAGGTCAAGAGCATAGGCAACCAGGTTAACCTTCCGGAGAATACGTAAAGGCCCAATAAAACGGGGTGCCAATTTCAGAGTAGGCATTCTGAGGTTGAGCTTAAGGAACGACAGCCACACCATCTCCCAGACCTGGTAAGCATGGGTAGGTGCCTGAAATTTGCTTAGAGCTTTTGGCGCTGCATAGAGGCATGAAAGGAACTCTAAATCTCCACCCAAGAGGAACGGAACCCCCAAAGTTTATCCTTCAAAGCAGGAATGTTCAGAGGCATAATGGATTTGGGCAACACAGATGGTTGAAACCCATAGTTAGTCATGAACGGAGACATTTGGGAGGACATTTCGAATGCACTGTTCCTAGCAAACTCTGCCCAGGGTAGCAGATCAACCCAATTGTCACGATGGTCCGACACACAGCAGTGGAGGAATTGCTTCAGAGCTTGTTTGGATCACTCAGTGGCACCATTGGACTGCGGATCATATTCTGAGGAGAAGGAGAGTTGAATTCCCAACTGTGTGCAAAAGGCCCGCCAGGACCTAGTGGCAAACTGGCTAACATAGTCCAAAACTATCTCCTATATATATGAACCGTGATATACCATGTAAATGGAAGACCTCCCTGGCAAATGCTGTGGCAAGCTTTTGAGCGGTGGGCAACTTCATAAATGGTATGCAATAGTAGAGCACATGCGGCTCCACAAACATCCCCACATTGTTTTAGGGGATGCAATGCAGTAGCCACAGTAATCCACATTTGGTGGTTCTGTCCAATAGCCCAGCACTTTTGGCATACGGTTTATGATCTGCTCTGTTCGCTGCTATGGGTCCACCTGCCTCTGAACTCCAGAAAAGTTTTACTCAATCTAAAACCAAATGGGTTCTCTAAATATAAATTTGCCCTGATGACCATTTTTGAAGGCTGACAAACAGGTAATTGCAAAATACTGGCACTCCCCCTCCTTACGCTTTACTGCAGTGAGTCCATACGGCATTTTCCAATGAGAAACTATCCGCCAAACTATCAGGTTCGATGATGAAATTTCATAAGGTTTGGGATCCGTGGGTATTGCATGTCTGCCCCCGATTTTGACTGGTTCTTTAGCTCTCAATAGTGATCATGGGGCATAAGTGGCGGAGTTGCCCTGAACCCCTTCTACTTTTTTCCTAAATTTTCTGTATTCCCTTCTGTTCACTCTTTTCTCCTTTTTCTTTCCCTCCCTGCTTTTTTTTTCTTTGTTGTAATTAAGTTAGATTTACTTTGTTACAACACCGTCTAAAATGTTTATCGGCTTATACTTTGGCTACCATATAATGCTGTAATTCATATGCTTTTGCCGCTGGAATACATATTGTAACCTTTCTCTTATGATGCTTTTATTATGTTTGGTGACTTATGTGATAATAAAAAATATTGAAAAGAAAAATGGTATCCAATTGCAAATTTTTTGTAAAACGGTCGACAATCATGAGAATAATGGTATAACCACAAGACACATGAAGATCAACGATAAAGTCCATGACTAGGTGGGACCAAGGACATCCCCCACTGGGAATAGGTTGCAATAGACCCCAGGGAGGTGCCAAGGGGATTTGCTTTGGGCACCAATGAAACATACAGCCAAGCAAGCAGCGACATGAATGCAGAGATGGCCACCAGAATTGGCAGGGTGACTGGCAGTATTGAAGTTATAGTAGGTTCGCACAAGTTTCATGAGTAAATTATCAGGTAAAAAACACTTATCAGATGGTTTCTCGGGAGGAGCCATAGGAGCAGCCAGAATCTGCTCTCCCAGGTGAGAGGTTGAATTGGTGCAGATAGTTGCCAGGATATGATCTGGAAAACAACCGTAATGGACAAGGAGTCTGCCTGGAAGACTCAGAATATTGGCAAGGCAGGGCATTAGCCTTCAAATTTTTTGAGCCAGGCAAATACGAGACCACATAATTGAATCATGAAAGAAACAGAATCCATCTAGCTTGGCGTGGCATGAGCCTCTTGGCTTCCGAGAGATAGGTTCAATGTACTAGGGTACAGGAACCCTAGTACCCTTTAAGCAGATGTCTCCACTCCTTGAGAGCCAGAATTATAGCCAACATTTCTCTGTCACCAATCTGGTAATTGCACTCTGCTGGAGATAACTTTTTGGGAAAGAACCCACAAGGTGTAAGGGACAATTTGGTGTAGGGCGATGAGACAGTAGGGCGTCTACTCCTGTCTCAGACTCATCGACCTCAAGAATAAAAGGAAAGGCGGGATTGGGGTGCAGTAGTAAATGCTGATTTAAGGGCTTTGAAGGCCTCAATAGCAGCAGGAGACCAGTTGTGTGGATCACTGCCTTTCTTAGACAACTCTGAGTAGGTTTTGCTATAGAGGAAACATTTTTGATACATTTTCGATAATAGCTGGCAAAACCAAGGAAACATTGAATGGAGCAGAGAACAGTAGGATGAAGCCATTGTAAAACAGCAGACACCTTCTGTGGATCCATGGAGAACCCCCCTGAGGAGATCAAGTAGCCCAAAAAGGTAACCTGAGACTGGTGAAATTCCCATTTCTCAAGCTTACAGAAAAGCCCATTCTCACATAAACATTGCAAAACTTGTCTAATGTCCTGGTGGTGCAATTCAAGGGGTGTATTAAAATATCATCTAAATAGACTACCATGCATTGTTGTAACATATCACAGACAGCGGGAGCGATGCCAATCCAGCCATTTACAATATAAGGAATACATTACAGTTACAATACAAGTCAAGACAAGATGATAAGGAGGGCCGGGCTCGTGAGAGCTTACGTTCTAAAAGGGAGGGGCAAATGATACAAGAGGTGGTAGCTGTGTGGGGATTAACTCTTTGAGAAAGTGATAGTTCAGTGGTTAGGTTGAGGTGAAATAGGCTTCCCTGAAGAGATGAGTCTTTAGGGATCGCCTAAAGACAGACAGAGTAGGACATGGCCAGGCAGATTGGGGTAGGGAGTTCTAAAGGATGGGAGAGACTCTATAGAGAAGTCCTGGAGGCGAGCATGGGAGGAGTTGAAGAGGGAGATAGAGAGCAGGAGCTCTTGGGAAGAGCCGAGGGGACGGTTAGGATGATACTTTGAGACAAGGTTGGAGATAAAACTGGGGGCAAAGGCTGAGCAGTTGGTTAGGTGGATGAGTGTAGCAGCAGCATTTATTATAGACTGAAGAGGGGATAGTCAGTGTAGCGGTAGGCCAATGAGGAGGGAGTTGCAATAGTCAAAGCAAGAGATAACAAGTGAGTTTATGAGTAGTTTTGTGGTTTCATTGGTAAGGAATTTGGGTGTATTTTGGAGATGTTATGAAGGTCAAGGCAGCAGGGTATGGATAGTAATTGGATGTGGGGCAGAAAGGTGAGGTCCATGTCAAGGACGACACCTAGTACGGCAGGAGGGAGGGATAGTTGTGTTATCACTGAAGAAAAAAAAGCATAAAACTTAACATAGGAAGGCATAAACTATTAGCATCAATGTAGTAGTTGGCAAGTCAAGATATATCCTCAGACAGCTTTGATCTTAAGAAAGAAACCTAATTAGGCATATGATACCCTGCCATTTACCTAATTATCTAATGAAAAGAATTTCTCTGCTTGTTGCAGAAAAGATTTAGAAACACCTCTGACTCATGTAAGTAAATGGGCAGTTATTACAAGAACAACAATTGAGTGTTTTGTTGGAGCCGAAAATACTTTGTATCACGCAGATAATGGTAGAAAATTGTCTAATATCGGATAGTTATCTATAGTCTTTTTTACAATCTGATTGTGTGGTGAACTAAATGTGTAAAGCTAAGAAATAACGATATCTAAGAATCTTATGGAAAATGTCTAGGTATATACAGTTGTTTGAAAAAGTGTTGGCCCCCTTCCTGATTTTTCATTGTTTTGCACATTTGTCACACTTTAATGTTTAAGATCATCAAACAAATTTAATATTAGTCAAAGATAACACAAGTAAACACAAAATGCAGTTTTTAAAGAAAGGTTTTTATTATTAAGGGAAAACAAAATCCTAACCCACATGGCCCTGTGTGAAAAAATGTTTGCCCCCCTGTTAAAACATAACTTAACTCTGGTTTATCACACCTGAGTTCAATTTCTCTAGCCACACGCAGGCATGATTACTGCCATACCTGTTTGCAATCAAGAAATCACTTAAATAAGACTTGACTGACAAAGTGAATTAGACCAAAAGATCCTCAAAAGCTGCACATCATGCCGAGATCCAAAGAAATCCAGGAACAAATGAGAAAGAAAGTAATTGAGATCTATCAGTCTGGAAAAGGTTATAAAGCCATTTCTAAAGCTTTGGGACTCCAGCAAACCACAGTGAGAGCCATTATCCACAAATGGCGAAAACATGGAACAGTGGTGAACCTTCCCAGGAGTGGGCGGCCAACCAAAATTACCCCAATGCCAAATTATTTGCATTTCACAAGACAGAGAAAAGTGGTAAAGAAGTTAAAAAAGAACTATGGGGTAACCTTTTTATCCCATAGTTCTCTTTGGGGTCACAGGAGGACATATATTAACATCCTCCCGTGACCCAAAACTCAGCATATAGGGGGCTTTTGCCCCCTATATGCTGAGAGATCCACCTTGCTGGCTCATTGACAATGGGCTCTGCCTATCTAGAGGCAGAGCCAGCTGTGCCCGCCCCTTCGCCCCCGTCCATTTCTCCAGTCAGCGCTGGAAGAGCGCAGAGGGGAGTGGGGGCCGGCAGGGGGCGGAGACTGACAGTCACCGATCTCTGCAGGGAGATGATCGGAAAGTGAGCAAGCGATGGTATGTGTTCACTCACTTCACGATCAATAGAGCCGACTTGCGACAGTTTTCAATGTCACACGTCAGCTCTTACTATGGGGATAAGTGTATTTCACTCACCCCATAGTTCTCCTTTAAGCTGGGATATAATAAGGGCATGCACCGGCATTTTGGTTGCATTATGCTAGTAGGAAGCAATAGATGCAGGATATGTTTTTAAACTGGAGATGACAGGTAGTTAATGAGTTAACATATGTTAAATGAAATACTTCAACCATGTATTACCCCTTAGCAATGTTAAAATAATAGGGGTTGTTCACAGTAATTGTTATTTCAGAAAGGGAAGTTGAGTGAGTGTGAAAAATAAATTCTGAGCTATCCATAATAAGTTTTAGGAAGTAAGAGTAGATGAAAACAGATATGGCAGATAAGACAATCGGGAACACAAGATAGCAGGGAAGTGAGATTTAAAGTTAAAAGATGATTTTAAGTAGAATCTGCTTATAAGTCATTCATCTTCAGGCTCCACTGGTCAGATTTATTTCTGTAATACCACAGATTTATGCACACAAAAAATCTGTACTGTACAAACCTGAGTTCAAAGCAATACTCAGTTGAGCTTATTAAAATACAGTGTTCACAATCATAGACCTTTTATTGCTTTAATCACAGCCTACCCTAAATGTTTACCCATGACCAGCCTCTAACACAAAAATGTAAGACTGGTACATGGTCATTCAACTGTCAGGGCACTGAGTCACAGACATACAGGGTGGTATTTATCAAAACTGCAGCAGACAGAATCTGGAGGAGCTGCCCATGGCAACCAATCAGCTTCTCTCTTCAGTTTGTTTAGTTAAGCTTTGAAAATGAAAGAGAGAAGCTGATTGGTTGCCATGTTTGGACAGTCCCTTAGCAGATTAGGGAGAGATTAGAGTGTCTAGAGGGAGATTTATGTTTGTGTGTGTCATCAACAACAACTTCATGTGTGCTTAGCTGCTGGAACCCCCCCCAGCTTGCTTTTTTTGTGGGGTTCTTTATATTTCTTGTCTTAATTTTTTCTTTTTTAAGCGGAGTTGAGTTTAGTGTTTACTAAAACTGTGCATTTTTATTTCACCTTATTTTTAACTTTCAGTTAGGTGTAAAAAAAAAGGGGGATGGGCCAGAATTAAGTGTACAATATATTGTGGGCTTTGTCAGTAAAATAAATACACTCTAATGCTGATTGTTTTTTATAAAACCTGGCTGTTGTGGGTCCTGTTAAAAAAAGCAGCCTAGTCAAAGAGGTGTTTGTTATAGACTGTTTACAGAGCCATCTACCCTGAAAAGTTTTATGTACATTCATTCTGTGCAAATGGAGGAAAAAACTGATGTTATTAGTATATTTTCTTTCCAGACTAAATGTAAATTCAGGAAAATACCAAATTATGGCCAATTGGCGCTGAGAAGCATAAGAAACGAGTATTTCTTTCCTATGGCCCTCACAGCTCCATCTAGTGGCCATAATGTAGCACTTACCTGATATTACATTTAATCTGGAAATATTTGTTTTTACCTCTATTCACACAAAATGAATGTACATGCAATTTCAGAAGGTGACTGGCTTTGCAAATTGTTTATATATAGACACCAAAGTATTTAAAGACTGTGCATGTACTCGCTACAATATTTGGGGGGTCTTTTTCTAGAGAAATAAACTTATTTTTATTTTATTAAATGCTGGCTAGAGTATCTTCAATTGAAAATGGGGCCTAGTCAAAGTGTTTAAATGCTGTGCATGTAGCCAATACAATATTTTTGGGATTTTTATAAATACATTGTAATTCTGATTTTTTTTTAATTAAAAGCATAACATCATCTAATGTTGATTTCTTAAATTAAAAAAATGGCTGGTATAAGTCCTGTTGAAATCTGGCAAGTGTCTGTCTTGTTGAAAATTGGGGCTTGTAAAAGTGATTAAATACTGTGCAGGTAGTCACTGCCTTGTTTTGAAGGGTTGTAGTGAGATAAATACATTATAATGTTGATTTCTTTCTGGAGTAGGTTGAAAATGCGCCCTAGTCAAAGTAATTAAATACTGTGAATGTAGTCAGCACAATATTTTGGGTGTTTTTCCAGCAAAATATATAAACTCTAATTTTTTTAATTAAACCTGGGAAGTGTCTCTCCCTAAAAATTGAGGCTTGTACACGTGATTGAGTACTGTGCAGGTAGTCACTACATTGTTTTGGGGCTTTTTGTGGAAAAAATGCATTCTAATGTTGATTTTATGATTTAAGCATGGCTGTTGTGGGTCCTATTGAAAATGCACCCTAGTTACACCCTAGTCAAAGTCATTAAATACTATGCATATGGTCACTACAATACTTTGGGGGCTTTTTTCAGCGACTCTCAGTGGTGTTCTAACCAAGGCATTACAACACTTTCTCATTTGTTTGCAGGTGGGACTTTCATCGGCCTCAATCAACTCAGAGCTAACGCCAACAATAAACATTTCTTCAGAAACCATAAGCACCCAGCTCAACAAAGGTCCACTCTTTAGCGTGGATTCTGGAATTGATAAGTTTCTCTCGTACACTACCGCGACTGAGACGCCACAGTATACTGCGAGCTACTGCTCACGGTATACTGAGACGCTGAAGCGGATCCCGACAATTATGTCTGGATCCGCCCAGCTCCGTGAGTGACAGATGGCTCTGCCTATCTAGAGGCAGAGCCAGCTGTACCCGCCCCATTCCCTGTCCGATCCGCCAGTCAGCGCTGGCGGATCGGAGCAGGGAAGGGGGAATCCAGCCCCTCCCCTGTCACAGAGGAGAGCTGTGACAGGATCGAGAGGTGAGCGAACGCCGGTATGTGTTCGCTCACTTCCCGATCTACTGAGCCGACCTGTGAAAGTCTCATTGTCACAGGTCAGCTAGAACTATGAGGTGAGTGAAAAAAACTCAACTCATAGTTCTCCTTTAAGGCCCAACACAAACCAATATTTAGTTTAGGGACAGGAGGAAAAGACTCCCTAATGGGGCCAGAAACAGAAACAAACCTGACAGAAATGCTATTTCTTTCCCTCTCTATCCAAAACTGAACAAAAAAAATGGCTGGAGTCAGACTTTAAACAAAAATGCAGCATTTGAACTTATCTCTGCACTTATGAGTCAAACCAGAATATTTACTGTGTAAAGTCAGGGGTCCTAACCCTTCCCTACTCAAAACAAAACTAATGTTTTAGATACACTCTAATCATAGATGTCACTGTTGATAGATTTTTCAGAAAAACTGGGGGAAGAATGTCATTGTTGACAAATGAGAATGTGACTGGTAGAAATGGTTTCCCAGCACTGCTTTATATTCCCAGCAGACCCTGCTGATCAGTAACAGTAGTAAAGCCAGATGTCACTATTGATTTTAAAATGCTAAATAAAGGGATGCAATTAAAATACACTTTGAGAATGTTGGTAACTCAATGTAAAATGCGGAGTTCTTTCAGCCCATATAAAAAGGAAACTAGTGTGTCTGTGTCCAGCAGCTCACACAGGACAAGTTTAGTGATTTTGAAAGTGAACCCTTTGTTGAAATAAAGCTCTAGGCAATTAGAATGCATTACTAAATTCTCAAAATAGAAAACTAGAATAACAATAAAAATTGTATTGAATTCCCAGTTTTACACCATTGGTCTATAGAAGCAAACTTAGGATGTTTTGTATTTTTTGCTACATTGTTACATTACATTTTGACATTTTTATGCATACAAAATTGTTTGTTAACATTATGACATACCTCAGTGACACTGCAGATGCAATTGGAACTTGCAGATGCAATTGATGCAATTGGAACAAACTAGCACAAGCAACTGGACAAGGAAGGATATGACAGTAGGCTCCCCACAATGACCCCTCCAACGCCTGAGAACAAAAGGCTTTTGGGGAAAGCGAGCTTTGACGGCATGGAGGAGAGCAGAGGCGTAAACATTAGAGGAAACAACCCAAGAGCGTTCCTCCAGACCATAGCCTTTCCAGCAGACCAGGTACTTGACTCCTGATCTCATGAGAGTCGAGCATGCTACATATTTCACACTCCTCATGGTTGCCAACAGGAATGGGACAAGGACAAGGAGGAATGGTAGTGTAACAATTACACACTAGTGGCTTCAGGAGCGATACATGGGAAACCTTGGATATAGCGCATGTTAGAAGGGAGGTCAAGAGCATAGGCAACCAGGTTAACCTTCCGGAGAATACGTAAAGGCCCAATAAAACGGGGTGCCAATTTCAGAGTAGGCATTCTGAGGTTGAGCTTAAGGAACGACAGCCACACCATCTCCCAGACCTGGTAAGCATGGGTAGGTGCCTGAAATTTGCTTAGAGCTTTTGGCGCTGCATAGAGGCATGAAAGGAACTCTAAATCTCCACCCAAGAGGAACGGAACCCCCAAAGTTTATCCTTCAAAGCAGGAATGTTCAGAGGCATAATGGATTTGGGCAACACAGATGGTTGAAACCCATAGTTAGTCATGAACGGAGACATTTGGGAGGACATTTCGAATGCACTGTTCCTAGCAAACTCTGCCCAGGGTAGCAGATCAACCCAATTGTCACGATGGTCCGACACACAGCAGTGGAGGAATTGCTTCAGAGCTTGTTTGGATCGCTCAGTGGCACCATTGGACTGCGGATCATATTCTGAGGAGAAGGAGAGTTGAATTCCCAACTGTGTGCAAAAGGCCCGCCAGGACCTAGTGGCAAACTGGCTAACATAGTCCAAAACTATCTCCTATATATATGAACCGTGATATACCATGTAAATGGAAGACCTCCCTGGCAAATGCTGTGGCAAGCTTTTGAGCGGTGGGCAACTTCATAAATGGTATGCAATAGTAGAGCACATGCGGCTCCACAAACATCCCCACATTGTTTTAGGGGATGCAATGCAGTAGCCACAGTAATCCACATTTGGTGGTTCTGTCCAATAGCCCAGCACTTTTGGCATACGGTTTATGATCTGCTCTGTTCGCTGCTATGGGTCCACCTGCCTCTGAACTCCAGAAAAGTTTTACTCAATCTAAAACCAAATGGGTTCTCTAAATATAAATTTGCCCTGATGACCATTTTTGAAGGCTGACAAACAGGTAATTGCAAAATACTGGCACTCCCCCTCCTTACGCTTTACTGCAGTGAGTCCATACGGCATTTTCCAATGAGAAACTATCCGCCAAACTATCAGGTTCGATGATGAAATTTCATAAGGTTTGGGATCCGTGGGTATTGCATGTCTGCCCCCGATTTTGACTGGTTCTTTAGCTCTCAATAGTGATCATGGGGCATAAGTGGCGGAGTTGCCCTGAACCCCTTCTACTTTTTTCCTAAATTTTCTGTATTCCCTTCTGTTCACTCTTTTCTCCTTTTTCTTTCCCTCCCTGCTTTTTTTTTCTTTGTTGTAATTAAGTTAGATTTACTTTGTTACAACACCGTCTAAAATGTTTATCGGCTTATACTTTGGCTACCATATAATGCTGTAATTCATATGCTTTTGCCGCTGGAATACATATTGTAACCTTTCTCTTATGATACTTTTATTATGTTTGGTGACTTATGTGATAATAAAAAATATTGAAAAGAAAAATGGTATCCAATTGCAAATTTTTTGTAAAACGGTCGACAATCATGAGAATAATGGTATAACCACAAGACACATGAAGATCAACGATAAAGTCCATGACTAGGTGGGACCAAGGACATCCCCCACTGGGAATAGGTTGCAATAGACCCCAGGGAGGTGCCAAGGGGATTTGCTTTGGGCACCAATGAAACATACAGCCAAGCAAGCAGCGACATGAATGCAGAGATGGCCACCAGAATTGGCAGGGTGACTGGCAGTATTGAAGTTATAGTAGGTTCGCACAAGTTTCATGAGTAAATTATCAGGTAAAAAACACTTATCAGATGGTTTCTCGGGAGGAGCCATAGGAGCAGCCAGAATCTGCTCTCCCAGGTGAGAGGTTGAATTGGTGCAGATAGTTGCCAGGATATGATCTGGAAAACAACCGTAATGGACAAGGAGTCTGCCTGGAAGACTCAGAATATTGGCAAGGCAGGGCATTAGCCTTCAAATTTTTTGAGCCAGGCAAATACGAGACCACATAATTGAATCATGAAAGAAACAGAATCCATCTAGCTTGGCGTGGCATGAGCCTCTTGGCTTCCGAGAGATAGGTTCAATGTACTAGGGTACAGGAACCCTAGTACCCTTTAAGCAGATGTCTCCACTCCTTGAGAGCCAGAATTATAGCCAACATTTCTCTGTCACCAATCTGGTAATTGCACTCTGCTGGAGATAACTTTTTGGGAAAGAACCCACAAGGTGTAAGGGACCATTTGGTGTAGGGCGATGAGACAGTAGGGCGTCTACTCCTGTCTCAGACTCATCGACCTCAAGAATAAAAGGAAAGGCGGGATTGGGGTGCAGTAGTAAATGCTGATTTAAGGGCTTTGAAGGCCTCAATAGCAGCAGGAGACCAGTTGTGTGGATCACTGCCTTTCTTAGACAACTCTGAGTAGGTTTTGCTATAGAGGAAACATTTTTGATACATTTTCGATAATAGCTGGCAAAACCAAGGAAACATTGAATGGAGCAGAGAACAGTAGGATGAAGCCATTGTAAAACAGCAGACACCTTCTGTGGATCCATGGAGAACCCCCCTGAGGAGATCAAGTAGCCCAAAAAGGTAACCTGAGACTGGTGAAATTCCCATTTCTCAAGCTTACAGAAAAGCCCATTCTCACATAAACATTGCAAAACTTGTCTAATGTCCTGGTGGTGCAATTCAAGGGGTGTATTAAAATATCATCTAAATAGACTACCATGCATTGTTGTAACATATCACAGACAGCGGGAGCGATGCCAATCCAGCCATTTACAATATAAGGAATACATTACAGTTACAATACAAGTCAAGACAAGATGATAAGGAGGGCCGGGCTCGTGAGAGCTTACGTTCTAAAAGGGAGGGGCAAATGATACAAGAGGTGGTAGCTGTGTGGGGATTAACTCTTTGAGAAAGTGATAGTTCAGTGGTTAGGTTGAGGTGAAATAGGCTTCCCTGAAGAGATGAGTCTTTAGGGATCGCCTAAAGACAGACAGAGTAGGACATGGCCAGGCAGATTGGGGTAGGGAGTTCTAAAGGATGGGAGAGACTCTATAGAGAAGTCCTGGAGGCGAGCATGGGAGGAGTTGAAGAGGGAGATAGAGAGCAGGAGCTCTTGGGAAGAGCCGAGGGGACGGTTAGGATGATACTTTGAGACAAGGTTGGAGATAAAACTGGGGGCAAAGGCTGAGCAGTTGGTTAGGTGGATGAGTGTAGCAGCAGCATTTATTATAGACTGAAGAGGGGATAGTCAGTGTAGCGGTAGGCCAATGAGGAGGGAGTTGCAATAGTCAAAGCAAGAGATAACAAGTGAGTTTATGAGTAGTTTTGTGGTTTCATTGGTAAGGAATTTGGGTGTATTTTGGAGATGTTATGAAGGTCAAGGCAGCAGGGTATGGATAGTAATTGGATGTGGGGCAGAAAGGTGAGGTCCATGTCAAGGACGACACCTAGTACGGCAGGAGGGAGGGATAGTTGTGTTATCACTGAAGAAAAAAAAGCATAAAACTTAACATAGGAAGGCATAAACTATTAGCATCAATGTAGTAGTTGGCAAGTCAAGATATATCCTCAGACAGCTTTGATCTTAAGAAAGAAACCTAATTAGGCATATGATACCCTGCCATTTACCTAATTATCTAATGAAAAGAATTTCTCTGCTTGTTGCAGAAAAGATTTAGAAACACCTCTGACTCATGTAAGTAAATGGGCAGTTATTACAAGAACAACAATTGAGTGTTTTGTTGGAGCCGAAAATACTTTGTATCACGCAGATAATGGTAGAAAATTGTCTAATATCGGATAGTTATCTATAGTCTTTTTTACAATCTGATTGTGTGGTGAACTAAATGTGTAAAGCTAAGAAATAACGATATCTAAGAATCTTATGGAAAATGTCTAGGTATATACAGTTGTTTGAAAAAGTGTTGGCCCCCTTCCTGATTTTTCATTGTTTTGCACATTTGTCACACTTTAATGTTTAAGATCATCAAACAAATTTAATATTAGTCAAAGATAACACAAGTAAACACAAAATGCAGTTTTTAAAGAAAGGTTTTTATTATTAAGGGAAAACAAAATCCTAACCCACATGGCCCTGTGTGAAAAAATGTTTGCCCCCCTGTTAAAACATAACTTAACTCTGGTTTATCACACCTGAGTTCAATTTCTCTAGCCACACGCAGGCATGATTACTGCCATACCTGTTTGCAATCAAGAAATCACTTAAATAAGACTTGACTGACAAAGTGAATTAGACCAAAAGATCCTCAAAAGCTGCACATCATGCCGAGATCCAAAGAAATCCAGGAACAAATGAGAAAGAAAGTAATTGAGATCTATCAGTCTGGAAAAGGTTATAAAGCCATTTCTAAAGCTTTGGGACTCCAGCAAACCACAGTGAGAGCCATTATCCACAAATGGCGAAAACATGGAACAGTGGTGAACCTTCCCAGGAGTGGGCGGCCAACCAAAATTACCCCAATAGCGCAGCGAAGACTCATCCAAGAGGTCACAAAAAACCCCACAACAACATCCAAAGAACTGCAGGCCTCACTTGCCTCAGTTGAGGTCAGTGTTCATGACTCCACCATAAGAAAGAGACTGGGCAAAAATGGCCTGCATTGCAGAGTTCCAAGACGAAAACCGCTGCTGAGCAAAAAGAACATAAAAGCTCATCTCCGTTATGCCAGAAAACATCTTGATTATCCCCAAGACTTTTGGGAAAATACTCTGTGGACTGACGAGACAAAAGTTGAACTTTTTGGAAGGTGTGTGTCCCATTACATCTGGTGTAAGATTAACACCGCATTTCAGAAAAAGAACATTATACTGACAGTAAAATATGGTGGTGGTAGTGTGATGGTCTGAGGCTGTTTTGCTGCTTCAGGACCTGGAAGACTTGCTGTGATAAATGGAACCATGAATTCTGCTGTCTACTAAAAAATCTAGTCAAAGTTCTGACCTGAATCCTATTGAGATGCTGTGGCATGACCTTAAAAAGGCGGTTCATGCTCGAAAACCTTCCAATGTGGCCGAATTACAACAATTCTGCAAAGATGAGTGGACTAAAATTCCTGCATAGTGTTGTAACAGACTCATTGCAAGTTATCGCAAACGCTTGATTGCAGTTCTTTCTGCCAAGGGAGGCCCAACCAGTTATTAGGTTTAGGGGCAAACACTTTTTCACACAGGGCCATGTGGGTTTGGATTTTGTTTTCCCTTAATAATAAAAACCTTCCTTTAAAAACTGCATGTTGTGTTTACTTGTGTTATCTTTGACTAATATTTAAATTTTTTGATGATCTGAAACATTAAAGTGTGACAAACGTGCAAAACAATAAAAAATCAGGAAGGGGGCCAACACTTTTTCACAAAACTGTATGCTTATAGGGATTAATTATTTGGTAACAAACAAAGCAAACAGTTTGCTAGCACTAAATTTATTATTTTGAACAATTATTACAGGTAGTGCAGTTAATAATTTTAAATGCTCAGTGGGTGGGGACCCTTCTTCTTGGACAACTACTGTTCTGTTAACTGTTATACTCAAGAGGCACCACAGGGTAATCTGGACATGAAGACTTTCTTGGTTTTCAGCTGGCAAAAGGCACTTGGGGAACTATTGGCAAAAAAAAACAAAGTAGACCCTGACCTTTATTATTATTATACAGGATTTATATAGCGCCAACAGTTTGCATAGCGCTTTACAATAAGGAAGACATTACAATACAATTCAAGACAAGCTGGTAAGGAGGGCCCTGCCCCTGAGGGCTTACAATCTAAAAAGGACCTTAACCATTAAATCAGAACTCATTAATATCTGGCACACCATATAATTAATGTCATTAAATTAAACAACATTTCATATAATGTAATGACACTACAGAGCTGAAAGGAACTACTGGTGAATTTTCATCCTAAAAAACTATAATAAGAATTGTCAGTAAACAACCCAATTTTTCAAGTGTATGTTTAAAAATTATTAGACTGTATATACAGAATAAATTGGTATATCTACAATGGTACTATTCCATTAGTAGCATTTAGGTAATGATATGAATTAACTATACAGTCATGCTTTTCTACACTTTAGATGTGCCTTTTTTAATACATTTCATATATTTAGTTTGTAATTAAAGATATACCATTGATCAGCTTTTTCAATAGACTGAAAATCAAGCTTTTGAAATTCTTTTTTTTTTGTCAGGCATGACTGAGGGAAAAGCTAATGTGTTTTGAAAGCTTGCATTTTCATTCTACTGACTCAGACAATAAATGGTATTGGCAGTTTTACTCTTAATATTCTGCTTTTATTGATGACTAGCATAGTATAATACATATGGTATAATACTCTGCATATATTTGGTTTGAAAGAGCATTCCTGTTTTTTAAAACCCAAGTCAAATAAAAGAAATGTTCATTTGAAAAACATGTTTGTGGAAATGATTCATGGTCATCTTCCAACAATAATCAATGTGCGCAGACCAGTGCAAATTGAATTTATGCCTGCCTGTCATGAGAACCCTGAAATTCATCTAGAAAACATACACCGCATATCCAATGGTTGTGGAGTGTATAAAAGATGTACATTTGAAAATATTGCCTACCTACGAAATGGGTGTTTCATCTTACCAATTTTCTTTTTTATCATTTTTATGCTTTTTTAATGCCTGACATGATGACAAGAAAGTAGGCTGACTGCACACCCAAATATAGATGTCACAATGAGGTAGGGTGACAGAATGAGTTTTTACAAAAAATATTAAAAAAGCATAAGGATAACATTATAATTCTGTGCATCACTCTAGTTATTGCAGCATGGAAACATAGCAGGAATTAATAAATTACCCAGAGCATTAAAGCAGACTGTTAAAGGGACGTTTTCATGAGAAGATCATTGAGGCAGCCACTGATGAATTCTCCTTTGGGAATGCAGGTTCCCTGACTGTCATTTTGATTATTTGGCTGTAATACTGTTTGAGTCCTTGGCATGGAACTAGTATAAAAATAAGGAGGTCTGACAAAAGTACATGAATAAGAAACAGCCAGGTATTTACAAAAAAAAAGACCAGCCATAACATCACTCAGGCCTTGTTCACACCAAATGCAGACCAGATCTGCATGAGTTTCTGCACACACAGTGCAGTGTGTTATACCACGTTTTTTGCCGCGTTTTTGATGCATTCAGGGCAGTTTTTGGTCAAAAAATTATAAAAAATATTTTTTTTTAGTTTAAAATAGGCTTTCAGTGCGTTTCAAGGCGTTTGCATGCGTTTTTTGATGCGTTTGCATGCCTTCCAGAGCAGGTAAATTAGGGCTTGGTGCAGTTTTTTCACATGCTCTGGAACTGAACGCTGCGGTGTGAACTAGAGCCCAAAATACCATTGGAATACATTGGACGCAGTTTTGATCCGGTCTGTAACAGATCTGCCCTGCTCCTGGAACGTCCTTAGTTTAAAGAACTCCAGGCAAATAAAATCTTAACCCTTGCAGTGGGGCTTACCACCCTCCCCCCCCACCCCACCACTGCAAGGGTTAAGTGCTCGTTTTGCCTAGGGAGTTAAAATAACAGAGATATACTCACATGAACTACGGAGCCAACTGGCTCCTAGACCAGTCCCTTTAGTCTATCTCGTCCTTCGCTCCAGCAAAAGAATGTCCCTCAGTGTCCTCACGTCCAATACACTGTATAGAACGCAATGACTCACCGGACCTTAGACCACCGAAGCGGCGGGGGAGAGAGGCTCCAGGGACCTGTCTAGGAGCCATCCGGGATCTTGGTTCCGGTGAGAACAACTCCATTACTGTAGCTCCCTAGACAAAAACGAGCACTTAACCCTTGCAGTGCGGGGGTTAAGATTTTATTTGCCTGGAGTCCTTCTTTAAGTATACTTGTCATGGGGAAGTATGATGGCTGCTATTGTCTGTCTCTTTCTAAAAATGATAGTTGCTTGACTGTGTCTGGCTTTCAAACTTTTAAAACACATAAAAGGAAAAAGCATACTGTACATGAGTGTCAGAAAAGTGTCAGAATTCCTTATCTCCATGCTTGTTTTGGGTCAATGATTCAAAAAGTGTGGAACCCAAAGCATAAGCAACTAATATAACACCTAAAAAAGGAGGCCAGCAATAGCAACCTACATAATTCTCTCATGGAAGGTGTACTTCAAACCAGAAACTGACTGGTTTTGCCAGTCTGCCTTGTTGGTGCATTAAAAAAAGGCAGTCTATATTCCCCCCGCCCCCCTTCTAAAGTGGGACCCCCACCACAGTCTGAGAGCCACTTGTGAAGGTGCAGGGTGAGATCTTTGTAAAGCTGGCCATACACCTTACAATTATCTGCAGATTTTCTGTGGTCAGATGGAAAAGGTACAACAGATTCCTCCATCTACACTTAACTGTGTGGATGGAGTAATCTCCACCTGGGCCAATCTGTTGCACTTTTTCCATCTGACCACAGAAAATCTGCAGATAATTGTAAGGTGTATGGGCACCTTAAGGCAGAGGCATTTATTGGTTGCCTCTGCTTGAGCAGCCAATTAGTATCTCTGCCCCACTGACCCTAGGGGTAGAAGTGGAAGTGAGGCTAAGGCTGCAACTAATGATTATTTTAATAGTTCGATTAGTTGGCCAATTATTTTTTCAATTAATTGGATCAAAAAAATTAAACAAATACCATCCTTAATTTAAAATAAAATACACAAATGCAGTGTTACAAACATAAAGTTTACTTTAGAATAAAACTGCATGCACAATTTTTTGCAATCACACTGCACTGGAATGCACAGCATTGCGGTATCGTGCGTTCCAGTGCGGGGGATCACGCTGTGGGTGGGAGGCGCGTTTGGAGTACCATTCAAATAAATTGCACTGCAACACACCTCCCACATCAGAATTTGTCAGGTCGAAATCTAAAATGACTTTTTTTCCCATGTTTTATCTTTTTTTTTTTTTATAATTGTATCGTAAGCACATGGCGTTTCAATAGCTTCAGCCAGGGAATGACAGCTTCCAGTGGCTGGATTCCGCAGACGACAGCTGAATGTAAATACAGCAGGTAGTGGGGCGGTGCAATAGCCAGCCTGCTATTCGCCATTTCAAACTTCAATAGCCAATAGCAGGTTGGCTATTGCACCCACCCACTGCTTGCTGTGCCCTCCTCCCAGCATGTAGGAGAGAGCTAGGGGATCGAACCAACTAATTGATAATAAGAATAGTTGACAACTATTCTCATTATCAATTAATATTGATTAATCGATTAGTTGGTTGCAGCCCTAAGTGAGGAGATTGTAGTTTGAGTTCTAGGTGACCCCCACTCCAGCATATAGGTATTGTTTTGTAGCACAGAAGGGGAGAGAATAAGCAGAGTGCCAGAAACGGAGGAAACCAGAAGAATGTCAGTTGAGGAGAGGGAACGTAGAGAATGCATAGGGCACTCTGCTAGCCCCTCCCATCATCTGCTGCTTAAGAGATATGAGTTATAGCTCTTGTGATGTGTAAGACTACTTGGACCAGTTTGTAAATGTATCCTCTTATAATTGGTTATAGTATTTGTAGCGACATAAGTAACAAGTGATTGTTAGAATGCAAACTTACTTTCACTCTTCTAATAGCATAGTTATGACCATGTAGTTCAAAGATGGGCTGTCGTATTGTCCTTAAATCCCATACTTTCAGACTGCAGTCAACGGCGCCAGTCACAAGAAGGTTCTAGGGTAAAAAAACAAAGTAAATTACTGTGCAAATTCACAATATGGAACAATAATAAATGCTCACTAGCAAGCCCTTTTTTTTTACGAAAGCTTATTCATAATTATGCTTGTTTTGTTCTGCACCCTTCCAAACTGGATCAAAGGCAGTAGAAATGTTCAGGGATACAATCAAAGTTTAGATCTGCATATGCTCCACCAAACAATTGGTCTTGCTTTGCATGTTCACTCCCAAATGGTCCACCTGCCTGACATCTGCATTGGTTGCTAACCAATATCACATTATTGTATATACTGTATAAGAACTTGTGCATAAGTACTTTTAGTAAGCACTGAAGGATTCTTGCACACATTCAGTTTTACGCCTTCTGTTAGCATACTCTCACTCTCCACAATTTACTTTAATTTCCACTCTCTCCTCCCTGTTGTACTTAGAAGAAGAGCCTATTGTTTCTCATCAGCAGTAGAAGGTTCAGCTTTTACACTCTCAAGCTCATGCTCCACATACTGTCGTTTTCTTAATTCCTGATTGCGGCACTACCCTCTCCCGCAAACTCTCCTTTGCAGTGTTATATTTTTCTAGTTTGTGGATGTTATCTCCTTCTTCAATGTCATGGTGTGCCCCTACATGAGTGAACAGATCAGAAAACACACAGCAGAGTTCAGACAGCGCACACACAGACACTGCACATACAGTCATATCACACATAGCCACAGTACATGCTCATAAAGTCATGGTCACAAAGAGTTTAGACAGAGCACACACAGATGATGTGTATACAGTCAAAGCACACATTATCAGGGTGCATGAGCAAGCAAACACAGGGCACACACAGTCCAGAAAAACACAAAGCACTCCAACAACTTAAGACACAGCAGAATTACTATATCTGCCCTTAAAGTAGTATTAAACTTTCAAACTTTTTTTCAATAATAAATCCAGATCATTGCCCAGGAAAGCATTGATTTACATATTTGCCCAAACACTTACAATCGTCATGTTTCTGAACAGTTGGCCCAAACTCTCTCAGCTCAGCTTCCCTGAACTTCCTGTCCAGTAGAAGATCACAAAGGACAGTGCAGACTCCAGTAACTGTTCATCCACTAGCTTGGAGAAGGGAGGAGAGGGGACCAGGGGGGATGGAAGTAGCTTGACTTACTGTGTCTCAAAATCAACATAACACATACAGACAACCCAAAAAAACACACACAGAACAGAGACTCTCCAAAGTGCAACAGAAATGCATCTCAATACAAACAGATGGCATATCAAAACAAGAAAGGTAGTACAATACATTTGATTTCTGTAACATATGACCGCAACAGCGTCAACTAGCTGTGTACAGCCATAGGACAGCACACTACATTCCAGAAGTGATGTATGCAGTCTTCATCAGAGGGGTCATGTTTTCTCTGTCACAGGCAGTATGCTGCAATATATTACAATTGTACTTTCAGGTGTAGACTTCAAACTGTCAGGTTTCACTTTGAAGCACTTTAAATTGAACTTTCATTGTTCTTCAATTGCATTGGCTCCTCTCCTGTACTGAAATTGTTAACTCTGATTTTATTGCACACTCTAAGATTCTCATAGGGCGATTAGAAGTTGAAACATATCAGCTAGAGCCCACCTAATTTCCTGGCTGGAGAATATCCAGTATCTAGTGTTTTCTCCTCAGCCTTGCTGTTTCTGGCCCACCCTTTTCATTTAATGGATTTCAGTTCATTCAGGTTCAGCATTACATGTAGATGTTACCTCGAGCAATCTGCATGCAAATGCAGCCTGCCAAGAAATACTCATCCTTCCAAACTGGTATTTTGATATTTGCATAAATCTTCCTAAAATCAGCTCATGCATCAGGACTCAGGGCTCTTAAGAGAAGTATTGAGGCAGGGTGCTGTAATGTTTCCAGGAAACAATGTACAGCACCCTGTTGGCCCCTGCCACCAGCTGTGATCAACCTGCATTGTGTAGAAAAGTGCAGAGGCCCAGCATTGGCATATTTGAGTCTAATATAAGGTATATAATGGAAATAGAATGATTTTATGTTAAAAAAAAAAAATTAACATGTTGATGAGGGTGAAAAGGAGGAACCAGGGAAGGCGAAATATAGGTAGATTAAACTTTAGGTCAGCAGAGGTGGACCTGAAGTTCTCCATCAGGTCCACCTCTGGTGATTGACAGCAGCAGAGGGCGGGTGCAATAGCCAGCTTGCTATTGGCTATAGCAAATTGAAACAGCCAAAAGCAATCTAGCTATGCATTCCTATGCTGTGTTTTTTTTTTTATTCTGATGGCAGCCGTGTCAGAATAGTAAAAAAAACCAGCAGATAGCAAGGGAAGCATTAGCTTCTTTGCTATCTCCCATGATTTCAGGGGGAGTCCTCTGTCCCCCATCCCACCCCCCGGATGGAGGGGAGGCGACAGAGGGCACCTCCCTGAAATGACAGTTTTCAGGTTGGGATGCCTGGGTTAACGCTGGGCGCTGAATTTGCGATTGATTCGCAACGGTTTGAAGAGTTTTGTCTAAAATGCGACTGTTTAAAGTAAGATGTCATTTATTAAGTGAGCTTAACATGGAACTAAAAATCTTGCGCAAATAGCGCTAAATATTTACAATGCGACTGGATAAGACAGAAAACACTCGCACATGTGATAATAAATTCCTCCCTATGTTTCTTCTTTATAGACAATACTCATATTTGACTACAGTGTCCTTTTAACAACTTCATTTAAGAAGTCAGATGGAAAAAGTGCAACAACATTTAAAGATGAACACAGATTGAATCATAAATGAAAACTGTAAAAAATTATTTATGTGTTAATGATGGAGGTACGATAATTTACAAATGTAGAGGCCTACTTATAGAGTGAAGACCTATCTAAGATTCCTGGATTTTTCCCAATCAGTTGACATTTGTAGGAAACATCCTTGCATTTTTAAGCTAGAGAGTGTTTTGCTAATAAAAGTGGAATTAGGAGGATACTATTGAATGGTAGCCGGAAGGGCCTGCAGCAAATATCCATCAAATCCACAGATCTAAATAATCCTCTTTATCTCCAATTGACTTTTGCATACTGAAGATTATAGGAACTGCCAGGCAAATGCAAATGAAGAAATCCTAAAAAATGTCAGTAGAATCCCCTTTTTTACAGTACCCCTTCATGGAAAAACATGTACACATTACCATAATTGGAAGCCCATGTCTTCAAAAGGACTCAGTGGTCACAAGAGAAAAAAGTTACTGTACCAGAAGGTTCTGTGTAATGTATTTATAATTGGGAGTTAAAGGCCATTTAATATTTTTTTTAGGGTTGCTGCAGCATAAAGTAATTATTATAACCTGACACACTGCCAAATGTAATGAAACATTAATGTATAATCATGAGACGCACAAACGAATTAATATATAAAACAAGAGAAATTTGTTGGAGGTATTTTCAAAATTACGCTGACAAAGTTATATGCAAACGTCTGTGGATTGAGCCCATTGTACACAGCTTCATTTAGGGGCAATTATAGGCTTTTGTCTGCCTTAATGAAGACTGTAGCTGTCCTGATTAAAAATTACATTATTCTCAGAGGGGAGCACTTACTGAAGGATGCACAGTCTTGTTTTCTGAGCTGAATATAAAATGAGTTAAGCAGTAAATTTGCATTTGTTTCCAGCAGTGTCCGCAGCATACATGGTTTTTACTTAAAAGTGCATTATGGGATTCAAATTGGTAGGCAAAAATATGCAAAGAAACTTAAAGTACACATGAAGATTAGCCCAAAGTCACCACCCATTCAGGATTATAGATATTCCTCACATACTTACCTGTAAAATCCATTTCATGGAGTACATTACAGGACACATGGAACTACTGTATTTTCTGCATGGATGGGTAATACAGCTAAGCAGCAGTGATTGGGCACTTGCAAATCAATCAAAGCTCTATATAACCACTCCCATTCCCTGCCTGCCTCCATTTTGTAGCAAGCAGTACAACTGTGGATCACAGAAACCAGGGAGGAGGGTTCTGTGTTGTACTCTAAATAGATTTTACAGGCAAGACAAAAATCCTGATTTATTGATTGTACTTCACATGACACAGGGAGTTAAATCTTCAATGGATAGGGTGCCTAAAAGCAGTCCAAGAGCTGAGCAGACAATGGTTAACAGGCATGTGAAAACAAAAACTAACCCCAACAATAAACCATAACGAAAGGGGCTCACATATCAGAGGGCCACCTGAAAAACCTTGCAGCCAAAGCTAGCATCCGCAGAAGCCTGAATGTCCCCTTGCAAAAGTGTAAACAGAGGATCAGGTGGCAGCCTTGCAGAATTGGGAAACCGAAGAACTTCCAGCACAAGGACTATGACCTACTAGGAAATGAGAGGAGGAAAGCAGCGAAACTGGCTTGGATTTGATTCCAGAGGCTTGGGAGGAATGAAAGGAACCCTTCTTGAAGAAGGATTTTGCTTCTGGTAGCTTGGAGTTTTTCTGCTGAGTAAAGGTATCCCTTGCCCCTTCCTTGATAGAATTATTCAAGGACTCCCCAGACAGGCATTTCCTACTAAAGGGCATAGATTCAAGGCAATTCTTGCAGAGGAGATCCACAGACCAGCATTTCAGCCACAGAATCTGTTACGCGTGGACGGACACGAGAGTCATCCAGGGATTTGTCTTAGCGTATCTGCCAGGCCATCTACACAGTAGAGAAAGGCCACAGGAAAGAGTAAAGCTGAAGAGATGCCTACCCTTAAAAGGCAAGTACATCAAATGTTTTTTAACCATATCCTCAGTGTGCCAGACATGAAGCCAAAGCACCCTAGGCATATCGAGAGCTATTAGACCGACATGAGACACAAGCTTAAATGTGTGTAAGAGACAATCACAGCCGAACCACAGGGCTCCTTTTGAAGAGTCGATCCACAATGACAATGATAACTAAGTCACCGGAAACAGAGGACAGAGAGTCACTTCAGACATCTCAAACTTGGACCTGAGCAGGGA